TTGCACAGTGCATATTGCATTTTAATGTAATAATAAGTTCAACATTATTTGATGCATTATGAACTTATTAATACATTAAAATGCAATTTGCACTGTGCAAAACCCCAATTTATGGGTCAGTTGTAAGAGTTGTGGAGGATTTATATTTATGCATTTTGCAGACGCTTTCATCCAAAGCGACTTTAATTGCATTCATGTTGTAAATGTTTTATCAGTCCATGCATTCGGTGGGAAGGAAGCAAACGATCTTGGCATTTATTTGCACCATGTTTAACAGTTTGTGCTGCAGGAATGCATGTTTGTCAATAAGATGCAGTTTAATAAACTGGTTTAAACTGGATTATGCCTGCAACAAAAACTTAAAACAAATCACCCACAAGTGCAACATTAATTGCACCCAGTGCTAGTAAATCTGAATCATGTAATCAGATAAGTACTTATAATTAGATTATATTACATTTTTAAATACTCGTAATCAGACTACAGTTACTTTTTTATGTATGTAATGCATTACATTACTAACTACAATTTTTGTCATGCAATTTGGAATAAGTAAAATACGACAATTTGTACATAATCTAACCCGCACTAACTGCACCAGGCGAACAGTATTGTTTATAAATAAGATGCAATTTAAAAATAATTTACATAGAGGCATGTTTGCACTGAAACTGAATTTAAATGCTCGTATACTGTAGCTATACACAATGATTATTTAGACAGAAACTGAAAATGTGTTGTCTTTACAAAATAAAGGCACAAATTATCATTAAACATAATGCATATTGTAAGATGCTTCAGATAAAAGTAACTGCTAAATGCATAAAAGTAAATGAATTTTTAGCTGGTATAAATTGGTTAAATTAGAAGAATAATGAATAGGATGCATCTAGAAATTTGTGCTGATACTGTGTGCAAAAGTGGCTCGAATGTATTTAGTGAATTCAGCCCTCTGTGTTTTTTTACAACAGATTTGTTTTATGATGCATTGTTATGTGGTTGCTATGGTGTTTTAGTGTGTTGCCATGCTGTTTCTAAAGTGTTCTGAGTGGTTTTTAATGCGTTGCCATGCAGTTGCATTGGTGTTTTAGTGTGTTGCTATGCTGTTGCTAAGGTTATGTGTCTGAAAACTGTCTTTGATGAATCAGTACATACGAGCGCCACATACAGAACGGGTAATGTCCTGATTTTAGAATCGCATCCCCGTCACACATGTTCCTTCATTAGATAGTTGTGCTAATTTGGTCATGCTTTCAGCTGTCAGTAAGAGTGTGGTTCTCTCAGCTCCATTTACAACACGTTACCAGGTATAAATCCATTCTGCAGATTCTCAGTGGGAAAAATGCACAGATTCTGTCTGAAAATGAGTGACTTACTTGGCCACAGCAGTGAAGGCCAACTCCACATTCAGGCCTGATTTAGCACTGGTCTCCATGAAGGGAACGCCAAACTCCTTTAGAGAGAAAGAATAAATGCTCTTCTTCCTTCCTTATAATATGCAGACTTTAAACAATACATGCATTTATAAACAGTGGGATCAGTGCTTCAGCATTCATTTGAGAGGTCCCTCTAAGATCAATGCACATGTAGGAGTTTGTGTCAGATATGCATGAATAATTTAAACGGGGCAACCAATAAAAGAGGCTGAATAATGCATTTATTTAGCCTGCTGTGAATCTGTAATTACTGTTTCAGTTAATGCATGAAATAATGCCGGTTTTAAAGATGCATTTAGACATTTTTCAAGGTTTTACACATAAAGAAATAATTTGTATTTCAAAACATGCCTACATGACCAAAATAACTGAATAAGTGTGTTTCTGTCACATATACACAATGAATAATTGTGCAACCTCTCAAAGACAACAACAGAGGCTAAATAAAGTGAGCGATTTGCATTTATCTCCATTTTCCCCTTATTAAAAAGGTTTTGCACTTAAAGAAATTACAAGTATTAAAAAATATATATATATGTGACTACATGACCAAAATTACCCTTATAAGTGTGTGTTGACATTACAGACCTTGGCCAGTTTTTCACCCTCCTCTCTCTTCACAACCCTTTCATGTGTAGCATCAGCCTGAAAAATCAATCAATCGATCAATGAATCAATCAATAAACAATGCATTAACGTTGATTTCCAATCAATGTGTTCTATATAAATTACGTATGAATAGATAAGATGCATGCATAAAGTCATAAGATTTCAGATCTCTAGTAAGTGAGGTATCTATAAGCTTCAGCACTCACCTTGTTACCCAGAAGCATGATCACTACGTTCTGCTGAGCGAACTCGTGAATCTCTGTGAGCCAGGCCTGTGAAAAGAGAACAACTGACAGCAATTGTACTGTAAATTTACAGGACATCACCACAATCTCTCATGCACTGAGTAAGAAACGGCAATATTTTCCAACACGGTATGAGAGGGCAGGAGTGTTTGCTAGGATGAATTTGCAGTCACGCTAAAAAAGAGCTAATAAGGAAAACCAGGAGAAATGGCATTTGGGAGGAGAGAAGAGATAGACTGAAAGAGAGAGACGCAGAGGGTGATGAAAAAAGCCCTGCGGACACATAAAGCCTGACCTCAGGTTAATGAAAGCCGCCTGTTAATATTGAGAGTAGGGAATCATAGCAGTGATAAAATTCAATGACACACCGAGTCAAACAGTAAGGGTCACACATTTCCGGAGTCTCATAATCATCTCTCTCTCTCACACACACACACACACACACACAAGCATCCGAAAGATGTGCTTGATAGGCAAGTTTCACAGCTGTAACACTCTCAGAAAAAAAGGTACAAAAGCTGTCACTTGGGTGGTACCTTTGCAAAAGGTACTAATATGTACTTTAGGGACTAAAGAGTCCAGAGTGTGTTGAGACCGAAAAAAAGAGGATGTATGGTCACGTATGCAATAATGACCAGCTGACTGTTCATCAGGTTTATTTCACAGCTCCGTACCAAATAAATAAAGGCAAAGACATGCACATCTCTCTCACTACACTTTCAGCTCTGCAACAAGTGTTTCCAGGCCGGGATTCATCACAGCATGGGCATTTCAATCATGTGCATTTGCCGCAATGCATGCAGAAGACAAAGAAGTGTGTTGCACAATCTGTCTGTGTGAAATCGCTTCTGTTCCTCCCCGATCTCAACACTTTTGCATGTGCATCTCTTTGCCGTCGGTCTAAATGCGGCCGCACTCCCACGCTCTCGTACCCTGACTCATCATCACAGACTCTGAAAATGGGTCGCTCTCTCCACACCTCTGAAACTCACTCACCCTCATTTGCATTTAAAATGCATAACAGTGCTATTTAGCAATCTGTCATTAAAGCCTTGTACTATATCAGTGCGCATGTTTATTTCCCCCCGGACCCGGAACAGTAGAACAAAAGAGAAGGAGCGGCGTTTGATCCTTCTGCTATGTTTGTTTCATTTTCTGCTTAACCTTAAAATTTTGAATAGAGGTATATATAATTCATTACGTTCATTTTACTCTCACAAAAATGTCAATCTGTAAAATAAATAACCAAATTTTAATTTTAATTAATTTAATTAGCATGCTACTAGCAAAATGTCTGTACTGGCACTTGATACATTTAATGCATCTTGACATTTGTCCTTGATGAATAAAAATATTAATTTCTTAAAAATAAATACGGTAAATGCTAACCCTAAAATTTTGAATAGAGGTATATATAATTCATTACGTTCATTTTACTCTCACAAAAATGTCAATCTGTAAAATAATTAACCAAATTTTAATTTTAATTAATTTAATTAGCATGCTACTAGCATGTTGTTTGTACGTTTCTAGCATGATTAGCATGTCGCTAGGATAGATAGATTTCTAGCATGATTAAGATGTCGCTAGGATAGATAGATAGATAGATAGATAGATAACATTATTACATTATGAGCCATCCTATGCTCATGAATATCAAAGCAAGAGAAAACTCAGATGCTACAACTTTCAAAAAACCTTCTTCTCTCCAAAACAACACAACTCTACTTCACACCGCTCACATACTCAGGTTAGGAGGGTAAAGAGGAGGAAAAAATCCTCCCTCAATACTATCAAACTCATTTGTAGCTCACACCCACACAATCCCGTTCCCTCTTTTCGGATAATATAATATAAAAACAATATATGCGCTGGCAACTAATATATTGTTCTGGTATAACCTTTGGGCGAGACAGAATGAGGAAAAACAGTCAAATTAAGCAGCGCTGCTGTGGGTTTAATGGTTATTGTGTTTAATGGCTCAATCAAAGCCTCGGCGCTACTGTAATCAGCCGCGTTGTTCAGCCACAATCGCGCAGGTGATTGCACGACATCTAAGAGAGCTGAACTGATTGCTAAAGTTAGTTTCGTCCTCTGGAGAAAATGAGACTGCTCCATTACAACCTGGACATGAGCGAGCCAGGAGAATTCAGAGCGATAAAACTAATTAAAACTTCTGAAGAAAACAGAAGTGAAGAAATTATTAAAAATCTGTGTATGTGAGATGAATTTAGTCTTTAATCAACATACGAATACGAAGTCTACATGACAACCATATAAAATTTCAATCATAATCTGTGCAATTATAATTACTAATAGTACTACTACACAATATACACAGTATTACAGATGTATTTATTCGTCCAAAACTAACTAAATACTCTGGCAAAGCTTGTTTTACACACTGTGTTCAATTCTGTTCAAATACAGTAAAAATTGTGAAATATTATTACAATTTAAAATAACTGTTTTCTATGTGAATATCTGTTAAACTGTAATTTATTTCTGTGATCAAAGCTGTATTTTCAGCATCATTACTCCAGTCTTCAGTGTCACATGATCTTCAGAAATCATTGTAACATGCTGATTATTAGAAACATTTCTGATTATTATCAATGTTGAAAACAGTCGTGCTGCACAATATTTTTGTGGAAATGGTGATACATTTTATTTTTCAGGATTCACTGATGAATAGAAAGAACAGCATTTATTTGAATTAGAAATCTTTTGTAACTTTATAAATGTCTTTACTGTCACTTTTGATCAATTTAATGCATCCTTGATAAATAAAAATATTAATTTCTTTCAAAAACTGACCCCAAACTTTGTCTCTTCTCCCTCAATCCTGCCGCTGTTCTCTTATCCATATTAATGCGAGCGGCCCTTACAAGCTACTCCGCTCCGCTTTGCAATAAAGGAGCCAGAGAGCAGCATCGATTTTTTTTTTCAATTGCAAACAACGAAAAATACAACAAATGGCACAATTTTGGCCTGCCCGTGGGGTTTGGAGGGAGAAACTGTTTACAGATGCAGCCGTGGAGCTCCAGCAGGCTCATTAAAGACCTGGAACGAACTCTGTGCACGACTGCATACGCGTTTCAGCTCAGTGGCTCCATGCAGCGCAATGCAGTGTAGAGACAGTTTGAGAAAATTAAACACAAAATTAAATAGTGAGGACGTGTCCACAGGACACAGCAATGATGCAACTCAAAAAATAAAATTGAGATCACAGAATTTATAGGAAAATAAAATGGATTTCATGGTCCCCAAAATTAAAAGATTCTGGTTTAGAGGTTTAGTTGTGAAGAGTTTTGTTTACATTCAATGGTAAATGTATATTGTGATAAATATGGATATATGATATGGAAAGAAATATTGTGATAATATTTTTGGCCAAATTGCCCAGCTCTACACTGAAGTTCTCTAGAACGATCCAGCGCTGAAAAAAAAAATGGTGTAAAAACAATTTTCACTCAGAAATTGCTAGTAAATTTCACAACTAATTACAAAGAAATAGAATTAAATGACACATAACATATTGAATTAAATGTGAGATTTTGAAGTAGAAAGATTGAAATAGTATTTATTCACTTTACTTACAACTTTTACCTTTTTTTTTTATTTTTTTTTTACAGTGAGCGTTTGAGAATCATAATACATACGACTGACAGTTTCACATCAGTTCCATTGAGATTTGTGTTTTAAATAACACAGCTAAACAAAGATCGCTCCATTCAGAGAGAATTGTTTGTTCTTTTCTATATCTGGAACACTGAGTCTCTCTGAATCCCCCGGCGGTAAACAGAGAAGATCGAGGAGTAACGCGAGCATGCAATCATACCATTACACAATGGAAACAGATGAATGACGACCTTCAAAACGGATTATAACCAGAGCTCATCCAAATGACTCTCAGGCTCATGTTCGACTGATCTCAACGAAGCATCGCTGCTCTTCGGCTCATTCACGCATGCATAAACGTCTTCAGGATCTGGTTCATGTGATATTTGTTGCTTTTAAAACGTTTTATTCGTATTCTAACTACATTTATATGTAGGACTCCCCTTTATGCTGCAGTCGGGAACAAGTGGGCCATGAGAACTAGATACAACAGATAAAACAGATGCAAATCAAGCTGTTTTTCCCCGGTGAGCAAGAAACAGAAAAGCTCTTCGGCGTGAATCACTGTGATTGGACGTATTTGCACAATGCTGGTTTTAGTTTCAGACTTAAGGTCTCTAAATGATCAACATGATCACGCATGCATAAACGTCTTCAGGATAAACCATTCTCATGTGATGTGGTGCCATCATCACGTCATTTTCCAGCAGCTCTGAGTGAGAAGTCACATGACATTTACGCTTCAGGTGATTGGCTCAAAAACTTCAGTGGCTCCTTTGAGCAAAATTGTAAAAAATGTGACAATCAGCCCACTGGGATGAGCTAACGGATGGCTTCATAAGCAGATCTCCTTTGTTGGGACACTTAAAGTCAGGATGCAATGAAAACACCCTATTTTGTAAATGCATGTTGTTTGTTGTATTGTGCATATGCTTCATTTTTACTTTATTTATTTTCTGACCTCGTTATTTTTAATCAAAATATCACATCAATATTAACATAATTTTAATAATTTTGCCAAAAGGCTATGGTTAAAAACCTGTTAACTGTAATACAGAGGAACTCAATATGATGAAAAACTGTAGTAGATTTAACAGGACATTTCATGTAATTTTACAGAAAAATACTGTTAAAAGTACAGTTTTGTAAGTAAAAAATAATCATTTTTTTAGCCGTTTTATCTTAGTTTTTTTCTCATCAGTTATGTACATAAATATATGTTAATTTTGAAAGAACATTAACGTAAATTAATTTGTATTGCATTATTTTAAAGTCATGATGGCGTTTTATATTGTTGTGTTATGACATTATGCACCTTGTATATTATTTTCATCAGCTTTATTTTTAAATTCAGTTTTTTACTATAAAATGTAAAGTTGTTATAAAAATATAAACCATATTTTTTA